AATTGTGGTCTGGGTATGGCCAGTAAATTATTTCTGTTGTGCTTCTGATGTCTCCACCCCCAGCTCATGGTTATGATATTGCCATGATAAATCTATTCTGAAATATTTATAGCACAAACAGGGTCTTTACAACCATTGCCTTCACAGGGTACACTTTGCATTCTCATAATTTTCAGTGAACTGGACATACTACAGTAATTCTCTGTTCTCATTATTTGCAATAATTTTTCCATTCTCTCCAGCCTCTAGTACATAATAGGGACAGACCAATCTCTACTTTGTCTGTTATGGCAAGCACTGTGGTTCCTAAGCTTTTCCTATGATAAAGGGGAGCTAATCTGAACCTAGTGTGTATCGACTTGCTTGTTACCTTCACATATTTCTCCCATTTTATTCCCTTCTCTGGTTTTTAATCACAAGTATTATATTTTCTTGTTGTAATAACCTAGCTATTAGGTCCTTGGAGACTCAATTAGAAGATTGGATGAATTCTCTTAAATAAGAGAAATTATTTTCACCTGTCAGAAACTATTGTAGATATTATATAAGTGAATGTATGAGAGCTACTAATCTTTAAGAATAAATTACACAAGGGAGTTAAAAGCAGTCTTCGTACTTGTGATACAGTTATTTCAAGAGATATCTTATTTATCCAGAATAAGATTATGTCTTGTATATTTGCATAAATTCTCCAAAATGGTTTTCTTGGGCCACTGATTGTATTTAAAGAGATATCAACATATTGGAGAGCAGTATTGAACAGAGTACCTTAAGATTCAGACCTGGGTCCTATTACCTTCAATATTTTTATTAATAATTTGGAAGAATATTTATTAAATTTCAGATGTCACAAAATTGGATGCGATCGCTAATATATAAAAGACTGAAATAAAATGCAAAATGATCTTCATTAATTAGGGAAATAGGCCAAAAGTAACAGGATGAAATTTAACAGAGATAAATAGAAAATTCTTCACTTCAAAAACATAATATACACAGATATGGGAGGTGGGGGAAATAGCTGACCTGGTAATACTACTTGTGCAAAAATGCTGGAATAATAGTGTGATGTGGCGGGAGCAGAGGAGGAGGAGAAGCCTGCATCAACAGATGAGTAACTTCCAAATCACAGGAAATAATAAAGTTCTGAGCTTTTAAAAAGAATCAGAATTTGAATAGGATCAGGGAAGGGCAACAAGGGTGATCAAGATACTGGACATCTTCAAGTCCTATGAAGATAAATTGAAGGACTTGGATATGTTTAGTCTTAAGAAAAATCAGATGAGTAGGGATATAATAGCATTCTTCAAATATCTGAAAGAATGCCATATAGAAATCAAAGACCTGTTATCTACATTGTTGCAAAGTACAGGACACAAAATAATGGATATAAGTAATAGAAAGGCAGACTACAATTGACATCATAATAATATGAATAGCTAGATGGTAGAACCATTTGTCCAGAGAGTGGCAGTCACTGGATGGAATCTGTTTAGGATGCTTTAATTTGGATTCCTGCACTAAGAATGGGGCTGGAATCAATGGCCTAAATATCTCTTTCCAACTCTGTGGTTCTCTGGTATCACCTGTTGAGGTGATGGTAAAGCAATCTAAAATATTGTTTTAATGCAGTATTCTAATATTAGCATTTAAGATACTGTGATATGTTTTCTCTTTTATGGAGGGATTATGCTCATGGTTAGGCAAATGATTGTACTGTTAACAATCTCTAGCCTGTGAATAATAAATATCTTAAATAAATGACATTAATATAGGGCTTCTAATGAAGTGCGGAACCAAAATCCAGTGCTTCTTAACATATGTATCATTTATCTGGTATTTCATAATATTATAATGCTTAGATACTTGCACTTTAACAAGACTGTTTGTGTTTTATTTTCATTCATATATTTCAATGGCTGTATAAATCCCAGGTCAATTTACCCCATCCTAACCAATTTTTACAATGGTTTGAATTGTAAAAAAATATCCTATAACCTTTCACAGTAGCATCATACTTTCTATAGCCTCCTGTAGCCATCAGCAGTGCTTCTTGGATTGCTCTTGGAAGAAACAGATTAGCTGGACCTACTCCAGTTTGGGTTCAGGCCTGCTTATGAATTAACCTTTTAAGGGAGAAAGACAGAAAGGGTAACCATGTTTATTCTCCTTAAATTTGGTGGCTTTTGATACCATTGACTACGGTATCATCCTAGACCAGTTACATGGGTTGGGAATTGGGGGTACAATATTAGAGTGATTCCATTCCTATCTTCAGAATTGGGTTCAGAGGATGGCATTGGGTAACTGTACTTCAAACCCATGGCAACTGAACTGTGGGATTCCATGGAGCACCATTCTAACCTCAATATTATTCAACATCTGTATGAAAATATCCAAGGTAGCCATCAGAATGAAGATATTTTCAATTGTATTTCTCTGTATCACCCCTGGACTAATGTCCATGGTTCCATTCTTGAGGAACTTACTGTGAACACACTATACCTATAATATTTGAAGGCACTGCACTAACTGCCAGTTTGCTATTTGCTGATTACAAGGTTCTACTTTGTGGCTTAGGACTGGATATATGGTGGAAGCCTTCTCCTTTACCTTACATGTAAGATCTCATGGGTATGTCCTCTTGAGACTGCTGCATTTGTTAGGGGTTGTTATGCCTTGATTTGAGAGAAAGAATTCTACTACAAGCTCTCCAACTGGAATTTCCTTCCTGTTCAGTTATGGTTGATGATGCTAAGCCTTGTGAGTTTTTGGTACCAAGTTACCATGTATCAGTTTACTCAGGCTTTAAATTAAATTTCTGTGGCTGTACCTATTCATTTGTTTATTAATATCCTGTACTACAATATTTCCAGATATTTTCTGGTTTTAAGTATGTGTTATTTTACAGATGATGATGATTATCATCTCATCACCACCACCACCACCAATTTGTAAATTGTTTAGAACCTATTATAATTTTTTTTAATTGTTCCCCATTTTGAGAATATTGTTAGAATATTGCTGTTTAAAAATTGCATAAATAAAAGAGATATCATTCCCACTGTCTGTTCAAGAAACAGTGCCATCTGATGGGCTACAGAAGCTTTTTTGCTGCTATGAATGATTCCTGGGTTTTTAATTAAGTTTAAAGGCAAAACACTTCAGCCACCTCTTGAATTTGGCAGTAATATTAATATTTCTTCCTCACAATCCACATACATAACCGCATATGGCCTCTTTGTAGTAGGAGCTTGATTGACCAGCTGCTATAACTGTGATCTGAAAGAGTCAGAGAATGATGTTATTGTTAATTAACACTAGTATCAGCCAATGGTGCTCCATCCAGATACTATAATATGTAAAAATACTTGGTCTGATACAATAGAGTAATGCAGTCTCTGACAACTCGACAATTCATAATTTTGAAGAGAAATATAGATATAGTTGTATTTCATAGAAGAAAAAAAGATAAGACTATGTAATTTGTAGTAGTTCTTCAGCCCAGTTTTATTTTTTAATAGTGGCATCTTTTAACATTTTTTCCCATTAAGCTAAGTGAAAGCTTTGGACAGATAGGAATAGACTTCTGTGTGAAAGGACTGTGAACTTAATACAGTTATGAAGCTAAAATCTTTTTAGGTTTAATATGTGCTCAGAGATACATTTGTTTTCATTCTATGTATGCATTCATGCAACATTCTTAATCCTCATTTGCTTAACCATTCTTTGCTGAATAACCCACATTTAGCTGGAGTCACACCACATGCTAAGCTATAAATCATTGTTTACAAACCATAATGGTTGTATTGACAAAACATTGAGCCAAAACCAAGTAAACCATATTTGTGTTTCAGGCCAGGTCTGTGCTTTTTGCAGCTGATTCCGGTTGGTGTATATTGTCAAGTAACTGATAAAACTAAAGAATAGCTCCACAGGTCTGGAATCTGTACCACCCTACAATTTAGCACCAAACTAGGATGGTTCCCTTAACTTTGCCTGTGGGCTAAATCAAGTTATCTGAACTTCTTAGAGAGTTCTTATTTTTCTGTTTTACAGAGGATGCCTTGCACTAAGCTGTACTAGCATTATAGGATTTAATGACTTGCTATTCTTGGTATAAATACTTACCAGTGATATCTGAAAGGAAAATAATGTCTCAGTCAAAATGTTATCAGACCATGGAAAAATGCTTTGAATGGACATAATATTTGCTCTGTTTTAATAAGTACGAGATGGGTGATAATGAACTAGTATGCTGTCATGTTGTTCCTTTTAAAACAAAAATGTTTTGTAAGTTGTCAAGTAATTTTCTAAATGTCTTCTTTTAGTACCAAGAGCAAATATTATGATTTTTTAGACTTCATTCTCCTTCTAAATGTATTTATTTTTGACACATTTTCTTAAGTAGGATGGTAAGCTTATGCACATACATTCCTGTCAGGAGCAGCAGCATGGAAAAGAAGCTTTTAGCATCTTTTAATCTTGTCGACCTTTTGTCATATTGCTTTACATAGTGATTTGCGTATATTATCCTGGGAATTAAGCAGTATGATCAGATTTAAATGTAATCAATCTAAAAATTCCATAAAATATGTTTGGGCATATTTCACATGGATAAATTTGTCCATCCATTTTTGCCAAAGTTTCACCAGTGCCTGATTTCCAGTTGTACAGTAAACAAAGGGGAATGTAGTGCTATGTCTTACACATTCATGGGAACATTGAGGAAGTATTATTTTGGACATTGGCTTTTTGGAAGAAATGTTTCACAGTTCTGAATTTGAACCTATTTTGCACCTATGCAGTCAGAAAACACTATGCAGATGACAAGTGTTCATTTTCTATGTTTGAAGATACCAGTGTACTTAAGATAACAGCTTTTTCATTTCCATTTGGTACTGGTGCAATAAACTAATTTGAAGTTGTCTTTGAACTCTGATTAATATCATTCCAGAAATTCCTGATTCTCCTAGTGACCTGTTTCCCCTACTTTTTTGATTTCAGGTTACTTCCAGGATTTGTTAAACAAGTCAGAGAAGGCACTTTATGACACATTTCCTGGTATGTATGGAGACCTTTATCTCCAGAACATAAAGCTTTTCAAAGACTTGTATAGTGAGCTGCGGCATTATTATCGAGGTCCCAACATCAACTTAGAAGAAGCCCTCAATGAATTTTGGACTCGCCTGCTAGAGCGGCTCTTCAAGTTGATGAATCCTCAATACCAGCTTCCGGATGAGTATGTGGACTGCATAGTGAAGCACTCGGAGCAACATAAGCCATTTGGAGAGGTTCCAAGGGACCTGAAGCTCAAGGCAACAAGGGCCTTTATTGCAGTCCGTTCCTTTGTGCAGGGACTTGGTGTGGGCAACGATGTTGTCAGAAAGGTCTCTCAGGTAGGTCATTAGCTTAAATTGCTGTGTGATCACCCTTCCTGAGAAGTTTTAAGGCATCTATTTAATCTGGGAAATATATTTAGCATTGTATTAGATAAGGCAGACAGATGGTGCCATTTGGTTTTCGCTATATTACATCAGATCAACATAGTGTCTGGTGTACTGTGGGCAAAACACAATAGTAACTATCAAAGCTAAATACTCTGGGAAGGCCATGGCCAGGTGACATCAGCATAGCAAGACCTGGAAGCTGCCCTAGGTCATATGCTATGTCTTTAGGAGAAAATAGTAACAGAACAGCATGTTATGGCAACCATATTGAGTAGTCAAATGCCTTCAATAACTCACAAACATAGAATGTAGTTAGAATTAAAGTTTCTTTAAATTTGTGGCTAGTTGTTTTCCTCTCTGGTGAATTTTATTCCTTTGAAGATGTTGTTGATGCAAGAAAACAACAACACGCCACCCTTCCTGGATATCCTCATCAGCAGATGAAAAAACAGAAAATTAGAAACCCGAGTCTATTGGAAGACAACCCACACTAATCAAGTACTTCATTACCAAAGTAACAACCCTACCTCCCACAAGAGGAGCTGTTTAAGGATGTTATTCAAATGAGCACAAACACACTGCAGCAACCCAGAACAGCAGAAAAAGGAAATAGACCACCTATACAACATCTTCCAACAAAATGGATATCCACAC